CATCGGGCTCCTTGCTCGGCAGGGAGCCTGCTTCTCCCTCTCCCTCTGCCTCTGCCTGACACTCTGTCTGCCTGTGCTCCCACATGCTCTCTCTCTCTCTCTAACAAATAAATAAAATCTTTAAAAAAAAAAAGAGTCTCTTATGGTTTGTCTCCCTCCTGATCCCATCTTGTTTCATTTATTCTTTTCCTAACTCCCAAACCCCCCACATTGCATCTCCACTTCCTCAAATCAGGGAGATCACAAGAAATATATTTCTTATTACTTTTATTTCCTTTAAAGGAGGGGACTCACATGTTAATGTGTTTATGGATTTTTAAATCTCTAAGTATCTTTGCCCTTCTTATTTCTTTAGCCCAGTCTTTCCACAGTGGATGCACATTGAAACAGGTGAATGGAGCAAAGACAATGAGAAAAGAGTTCTAGGAAGAATGTGTTGCCACCACTGAGAAATTTTGCTAGATTTTCCTCAAGTGTGAATACTTTATTTATGAATTGCTTGAATCCAAAGTATAGACAGACTGATAGGTACCTGTATACTTGTTTCCTTTACTTAAAGTCTCATTTCGGGTGCCCGGGTGGCTCACTGTTTAAGCGACTACCTTTGGCTCAGGTCATGATCCTGGAATCCCAGGATCGAGTTCGTCATTGGGTTTCCTGCTCAGGGGGGACTCTACTTCTCCCTCTGACTCTCCTGCCTCTTGTGCTTTCTCTCTCTCTCTCGAATAAATAAATAAAATCTTAAAAAAAAAACCTCTCATTTATTTCCCAAAAGCTGTCTCTGCTATGTGGAACCCCAGAATCTAACAGGTGTCTTGGAATTCCTCCTCCTGGGGTTCTCAGATGATCCAGAACTGCAGCCTGTAATCTTCAGCCTGTTCCTGTCCATGTATCTGGTCACCATGCTAGGGAATCTACTGATCATCCTGGCCGTCAGCTCTGACTCCCGTCTTCACACCCCCATGTACTTGTTCCTCTCCATCCTGTCCCTGGCTGACATCGGTTTCACTTCTACCACGGTCCCAAAGGTGATTTTGGACATTAAAACTCATAACAGAGTCATCTCTCATTTGGGCTGCCTGGTTCAGTTGTCTTTTTTTATTCTTTTTGGATGTTTGGACAGTGTACTCTTAACTGTGATGGCCTATGATCGGTTTGTAGCTATTTGTTATCCTCTGCACTACCCAGTCATCATGAACCCCCACCTCTGTAGCCTGCTCATTCTGGTGTCTTTTTTGATCAGCCTTCTGGACTCTCAGCTTCACTGCCTCATGATGTCACAGCTCAACTTTTGCATAAATGTGGAAATTCCTCATTTCTTCTGCGACATTCCTCAGCTCCTCAGACTTTCCTGTAATGGTATTTCCACCAATAAATTATTCCTGTATTTTATTGGTGCCATCTTTGGTGGTATTCCCCTCTCAGGAATCCTTTTCTCTTATACACGAATTGTTTCTTCCATTCTGAGAGTCCCATCCACAGGTGGGAAGTACAAAGCCTTCTCCACCTGTGGCTCTCACCTGTCAGTTGTTTGCTTATTTTATGGAACAGGTCTTGGGATGTACCTCAGTTCAGCTGTCTCACATTCTTCCAGGAAGGATGCAGTGGCCTCAGTAATGTATGCTTTAGTTGTTCCTATGCTGAATCCCTTCATTTACAGCCTGCGGAACGGGGATGTCAAGAGGGCTTTGCAGAGACTCCTCAACAGAACAGTCTAGTCTTCGACCTTTTTTTTTTTTTTTTGTCTGTTAATTATAAATAATTGCAAAACCAAACATATGGAATTGGCAAGCATGACTCTTTGGTCATATAATTTTGGTAGCTCATGGTTCCCATTCCTCCTGATTTGTCATATCTAAATATTGCTTATCTTGGCACATCTTTGATGGAATTAAGGGAATATTCTGGGACTCTATGTATGGCAAAATCACTGCACAATTGAATCTTATTAACCTGTGGAATCTTCTGTATTTGTAACCTATGACCCAGGTATCCTGTAGAAAATCAAACTGTCTTTTAAAATATATTCTCTGGAATACTACTCAGCCATCAAAAAAATGAAATCTTGCCACTTGCTACAATATGGGTGAAACTAGAGGGTATTATGTTAAGCATAATAATTCATTCAGAGAAAGACAATTATCATATGATCTCACTGATATGTGGAATTTAAGAAACAAAACAGAGTATCATAGAAAAGAGGAAAAAATGAAACAATATGAAATCAGAGAAGAAGACAAACCATAAGAGACTCTTAATGATAAGAAACAAACTGAGGGATGCTGGAGGGGAGGGGTTGTGGTATGGGGCAATTGGGTGATGGACACTCAGGAGGGCACGTGATGTAATGATCACTGAGAATTACATAAGACTGATAACTCACTGACCTCTATCTCTGAAATCAATTATACATTATATGTTAATTGATTGAATTTAAATAAAAAATAAAATATTCTCTCACTCGTTTTTACTGTCATATCTATTTCCCATAAAACTTTGGCTTTGATCAAATCTATTGATGCAGGTTGTATGAGAAAATGTATGTCACTGGTTCTCAAACTTGGCTTCATGTTTGAAACATCTGGTACACTTTAAAAATCCTTATGCCGGGGCACCTGGGTGGCTCAGTGGGTTAAAGCCTCTGCCTTCGGCTCAGGTGATGATCCCAGGGTCCTGGGATCGAGCCCCGCATTGGGCTCTCTGCTCAGTGGGGAGCCTGCTTCCCTTCCTCTCTCTCTCTGCCTGCCTCTCTGCCTACTTGTGATCTCTGTCTGCCAAATAAATAAATAAAATCTTTAAAAAAAAAATCCTCATGCCTGAGTCCCACCACAACCAATTAAGATTTAATTGGACTGGAGAGTAAAAAGAACTTGATCGTTTTTTTTCTGTATAAGATTTTGAGTTTATTGCTGAATATTCAGATATGCATGTGAGTCCTCTTGGAGCTGGGAAACCAGCACTCTGACTCTAGTCCAACGACCTCTCTGAAGATCTACGATTCAATAGAGACCCCAAAGGGCCATGGTTTAGTAGCGATGCTACACTAGTCTGGACCAAAGGGTGCTCCAGACTACCTAACGAA